TGTCGCTGCGACTCATTGCCGCTGTCACGCATTGCCGCTGTCACTCATTGCCGCTGTCACGCATTGCCGCTGTCACGCATTGCCGCTGCGACTCATTGCCGCTGTCACGCATTGCCGCTGTCACGCATTGTCGCTGCCACTCATTGCCGCTGTCACGCATTGCCGCTGTCACTCATTGCCGCTGTCACGCATTGCCGCTGTCACTCATTGCTAACGTCATGCCACAGCTGCAGATGTAGTTACTGCTGCACTATTTTTTGCATGGTCGGTTGCATGTGTTGCCACCGCCATGGCACGGCTACAGATGAATTGGTTGCTGCGCCATTTTCGCACGATCATTTATGACGATATGAGGTATATACCGTGTTCGTAAAATATAACACTGTCAAAAAATATATGTGAAATCTCATAGCGTGATGATCTGAACTATAGGCACTCACTTCGCAATAAGGCGATTGATGTAGACAAGTGAATGAGATCTCGATCTTTTTGAAACCACAAGTTCGGGGCGCTACTGGCAGAAGCATTTATTGCATTCCCAACAATTGTATGTTAGTTGCAAAAACTAAATTTGGTGAATGAACTTCATGTTGGCATTCTCTAATTTGCGAAGGTTTCTGTATTATTCTGGTTGTATACTGTGACCTCTTCTAAGTGCATGTGCATGGGTATGTTTCTAAATGGGCCTATGTATTGTTATCAAGTCTAATATAAATGTACCTTGTAAAGCGATAGAAATGTGAGATTAACACTTATGTAATGCACAGACAGTTACTGTGAATTATTTGCCGACATGAGTTCAGGTGGCAATGTGTAGCAGAATTAACAGTATTTTGCATACAAAATCTAATTAAAAATATCACAATGAATTTGCACACTATCAATGTCAAATGTATTTATTGTAAATAAACATGTGATTTCATGAACAACACATTCCTTTTTCACATCTAGCTTTATTTCACCTCAGTTTCTTTTTTCAAATTTGAAAACTACAAATTTTTTTCAACTGATCATGTCTGTTTTATGATCGACTCATCATGAGTGTACTCGGGAGGCAACTTCTATCTACAAAATCAATCTGTCCTATGTGTTTCATCATCATTAATTCATTACTTGTTAAATAGTTAAATAAGAGCAATTAGCAATTTCCACAAGGCACGGCACTCCGTGAGCTGCAGTAACAGTAGAGTAGAAATTCGCTTGCAGCACACACGAGACACTGAAAATGTAACAAAATGTACATCATTCATAACACAAATGTATAATCACGGAACAGCATCACATGATGTCATGACTACATGCGAGGGGTGGATTATAATTGGAGTAACATAAGGTAGCACTATAAATGGTATGGATTTTATTCAGTAGAGTATTGAGAATAATCATAATTATGTATCAAAACGTGTATCATCAAGGTTTGTATCGGGATGAAACACAAATTCATTGACATGTACATGCATGAATTGTCGCACGCCCAGTACATGTGCAACAAATCCAGCAATCCTGTACGTAAGCCTCTACTGGACATACCAAACATAATTGTGCTGCATGACCACGCAGATCGTTCCTTACTGACAAAAACACTACGCACTAATAAGATTTTTTAATTAACAAACAGGCTGCCATTTCCCACAACTACCCTTACATTGTATGCAGGCGTACACTGTGACCAGATGTACATAACAGAAAAGTTTCTTAAACAAAGACAAATTTGTCTGTTATGCTGTAACACAATTGGCGCACACACACGCAATGTAAGCTTCTGCGCAAGTACACACATCACACCGCAACGCTTCGACTTCGCAACTTTTTAAGGTGTGAATTCGGACGCGTCACTGCGGTGGGTCGCGACTGTGCGGTAGCTTCCTCCGAGCGGCTGCTTGCGCGCTACTTGATAAGGAAGCTGTACGGGTATCCCTGGTACTTGGAGCGGAACACCGACAGGATGAGGCTGAAGAAGAACGCGACGATGCCGAGACCGACGATGGCGATGATCCGACGCTTGCCGACCTCGCCCTTGCCCGACGCCGCTTCGTTGAGCAGCACGATGCCGAACACGACGGACGCGTTGAGCACCATTACGATGTACGTCTCGATGATGAACTGGCTTCGGCTGCCGCCGTGCACCCACGCGACCTGGCCCGTCTGCGGGTTGCGGTGCATGAACGGCGGGCCGCGGATGTGGTTCCACATCTGGCCGGACGTCATCGCAAGGACGACGGCGAGCGCGCCGATCGCCCAGCTCGTCTTGTTGTAGAGGAAGTCGAGGTTGTTGCGACGCAGGTAGAGCAGGCCGCCGATCAACGAGAACAGCATCGTCACGGCGATCGTGCCCGAGTAGTTCGGCGGACGAAAGATGCGGATCTGGATGTCCGTGCGCTCGCCGACCCACTTCGCGATCGCCTCCGCGTAGAACCCGACGCGCTGCAGGTCCATCGTGTCGGCTTTCTTCGGCTTGCCCTTTGGCGGGAAGTGGATGAATACGGGCGCGCTCGTCATCTTCAGCGACTGGAAGACGTCGGCGGCCTGGTCGTAGTCGACCATCGCGAAGAACAAGCGACCGGAGTAGCTCTGCGAGTATCGCCATGAGTTGGCGACGATCTGGAACTCCTCGTTCGCCTGCTTGCAGATGGAGCAGTGCCGCTGCGGCTGCAGCGCCGTCAGCATCATGATGACCGAGTAGTTGCGCGGCGCCGACTTGACGAACGTGCGGTACTTGTCGCCGTTCATCTTGATGACGGAGCGCTTGGCGTTCCAATCTAGCAGCTGATCGACCTTCTCATTGAGGCTGAGCTCCTTGCGGCGGCCGGGCTGCGTGCCGGCGAGCGTGGCGAGTGACGCCACGCAGAGCAGCAGCAGCGGCAGCACGCGCGGCTGACCGGTCGCCCTCATCTTGAGTGTGGCTGCGTCGGGGTGCCGATTTCGGCGCGCGAACTCTGTGAACGACGTGGAAAATTGTGAATCATCGCGGCAGTTATCAAATCATTCAATGATCAAGCGCGTAAAATTAGAACTTAGTAATTATATACACGAAAAACGATCGCTTAATTGGATTATGAACAATGACGAAATATATACACTATACGACACTCACATATTTTTACATACGACATATATTTAGCTTAGCGCTTTGTTTACCTTTTAAGTTTTAGAGAATTAGATCATGAACAGAGCCTGAATTCGTGGCAGATATCAGAGATGTTCACTTCGAACACCGGCGCTGTTTCGCCTAATTTTGATGCGTGGTGGCGCTGCAGTCATTACACGACGTGTTACGAAACATGGAGGAAGTCAAAAACGAATCTGTACTTGAAGTGGCTGAAAATGTGGCAGAAGCTGCCATAAATGGCACCAAAATACCTGCTACGCCGGAGGGTATGGCAGTTGCATACACTAGTCTTGTAGTGATGGCTTTGGTGCCCATTTTTTTCGGTGCTTATCGCTCAGTAAAGTACCATCAGGAACAGCAAAAGGTATGTGAATCACATATGTGCATGCAATGATGCATGGTTACTGTATTCATCATATGGTTTTACCTAAGTAACACTATTGGTTATGCTTTGGCAGATATGGTCGTCCACTACTCTTATCACTGACTCAACTCAGTAACGCTGTTTAAGTCGAATAAGAATAGTGTATAATTACCGACCATTTGAGCAATACTTATAGTATTACTACATGACGTGTAGCCATTGCCATTGGAGCATACTGCAGCTTTCTGCAATCAGTTCTTGTTCTTTCAATCCATTCATAGTCATACCCATTCAAGCTGGTTCAGTTATCATTAGCATCAGCCATCATGTGCCACCGCTCCCCTTACGTCTCTTCATCACCACAGGCACTTGAAGCGTTTCAATAAAATACTAGACAGAGGGCACTCAAAGAGAGTGCATACCTCCGCGAGCGTGTAACATGTATACACGTGTATAACAGCTGGCTCGCTGCT